GGTTAGTGCATGGCTGTGGAGGTCTACACTAGTAGATGGACAGTTCTAGTATAGAATTACTTCAAAGTTGACTTATAGTTACTATCTACTTCCTGGACTGAGATGCCGGGTCAGAGGTGACACAATCATGTCGATTTCTGGTGCCTGTACAGTTCTTGGCTACGTTCGCAAATATCTGACATAGATCAGTCCGGATCAGTTACAATGTGCAGTCCGAATGATCACTGGGGGAGAAGAGAATGAAGAAAAGCTTCCTCCTGTCTGCAGCAGAAATCATCTCAGCCTAGGCAAAGTCACTGGACCTCAATGATGGCTTTTAATTATACAATGTGGAGCTTTGTGAATAATGATACTCTTGCTGTGCATGCAATAGTTGGGGAGGGCTGGGAGGAACAGGACATTTGTTGAGCTTATTGGCGGAACCTAACATATAGTCACATGTAACTATATGTGAGGTGATATAACTTGGGCTTATGCACTTTAGCTTCTTGCTTTTGAGAGTCACAGAATTCAGCCGGCGCTCACACTGACAGGTACTTTGAGCGAATTCACGGGTCACCTGAAGCCATATGTGGCTGACAAGCCATTCTTTTCGGTCCATTGTTGCACAGAACAAAGCCATTCATATTTATTTGTTTTTATTTTCTGTTTCCCCCCCCCCCTGCTTTTTTAGAAGCCAGATGGCGTAAGCGACAGCGCCGCCATGCGCGTGGGTCACGCTTACATCCTCGTCTACTCGGTCACCGACCGCTGCAGCTTTGAAAGTGCCTCGGAGTTACGGATCCAGCTCAGACGGACACGTCAGTACGAAAACATTCCAATAATCCTAGTCGGGAATAAGACAGACCTCGTCCGCAGCCGGGAAGTATCTGTGGAAGGTGAGTGATGAGGTGGAATTGAAACCTGCTGTAGATGTGGCAGCGGACCAAACCCTTCCTTCCCAACAGGCATTGCCAAACTCCACTTCCTGCTCTTCTGCCAGCGAATGACATCGCAAGAGCTGCGTAATCCAATGCCCCGTGATCAAAATAAACTGTGCGCAGCCCTGATCGTCATTTCCACCTTTGTGTAATTCTTCTGGAACATACTCACTATAACAGAAATGTATGCAGAGGAAGTATTTTTAATGATTTCTCAACTGATCACTATACTTCTCCACCTCCTCTTTGCTTTCTTTGATCTTACAAAGCCTGTCACTAAGGGTTTCTGAACATACGCTCATCAGGCAGTTGACAAAGCAATGCATTATGGTACTTTATACAGGATACGTCCCATTTCCTGTTTTGTTTATTTCTTGCTGGTTTGAAGGTTGCGCAATAGCTGGATCAGCATGACAGCCAGGAGCTAGCATTTGTCGAATGCCTCCATATTTTCTCATTTCAGTGTGCCTTTAGGAATCATACGTGCCTGAGTAAACTGAAATCTGATTGGTTGCTTGGCTACATGCACTTTCCTCATCATCTTTGCTTTATTCTTTGCCTTTTTAAAGGATAACTATATATTTTCATTATTTTTTAATTTACCCACCTACCCCTCCCAGCACTCCCAAAAATTCTTATACTCACTGGTCCATGCTCCCCCTGGATCCACGCTGAGACCCACATGTATCTAATCAGCTGCCGCAACAAGCTCTCCCTGGTCAGTGCTTCCTTTCCTTTGCACATAGAAAAATCCCTTTCATCCATATAAAGAAGTTATTATATATGCCAATAGATGACCTCTCCATAGGGATGAATAGGACCAGTGTGCAGAGGTGGTACACTCCGAAATGTGTCCCATTTTGAGATTCACTCCACTAGTTTCTTCTGGTGATCTCATGGGTCCTGTTGGGTGTATCAGGGGCCTGAGTAGTGAGCATGGGGTGTCCTGATAGGAAAGGACCTGCAGTGCAGACATGGCCGCAGAGCTCTAGTCTATGAGACCTGCAGTGCAGACACGGTCGCAGAGCTCTAGTCTATGAGACCTGCAGTGCAGACACGGCCGCAGAGCTCTAGTCTATGAGGCCAGCAGAGCTTACATCAAAGCAGTTTAGAAGTACAGCAGGAGCACTTCTAATGGTGGCATGTAAACGAGTGGAAGAAATCCTGCATGATGGAGGGCTGCTTAACCATGGTAAGTTTAATGTGCCCCGGGGTTGTGCCTTAAAGTGTATCTAAAGCCAGACTATTTTTGGTTAGAATAGTGAGGCATTAGGACCCCTGTCAGGCTTATGTGTCCCATTTCGAAGATTCACTCCTCTATTTCATCTGGTGTCAATTGCCACTGGGAATGAAAGTGAGGGGAAATCCAAAATTTTGAGCTGTCACCAGACCAGGAGTAGAAGGGAAATCTTTCAATGGAGACACCTGTTCCCGTGACAACTAATGGGGGATTTACTTCACTTTGCAAAGATTTCCTCTCCTTTCCTGTTGTGTCTACAGGACAGGAAGTGAAGGAAAACCTTCCCAATTAAACAATTCCCTCTCTCCAAAACTACAACAAAAAAGTTTTGACTTTTCATATATTTTAAAGAATAACCATTCAAGAGTAATAGTTATCCTTTAAACCAAGGGTAGGCAAACTCAGGCTCTCCAGCTGTGGTGCAACTACAAATCCCATGAGGCATTGGAAGATTCTGACAGCCACAGACATGACTCCCAGAGGGAGATGCATAATGGGATTTGTGGAGGGCCGGAGTTTGCATTTCTGGAGGGCCGGAGTTTACATGACCCTGCTTTAAATCATCCTGAATGTTGTCTATATCTCTGTCCACCACTAAACCTTCCTCCCTTTGCAGAGGGTCGCGCCTGCGCCGTGGTGTTCGACTGCAAGTTCATCGAGACCTCCGCCGTCCTGCAGCACAACGTCCGGGAGCTGTTCGAGGGCATGGTCCGCCAAATCCGCCTACGGAGAGATGGACCGGATGCAGCGGAGATCTGCCGACTCCGGAGCCAACGCAAAGAGAGCCTCAGCAAGCGGGCACGAAGGTTCTTGGACCGGATCGTCACGCGGAACAGCAAGACTGTCCTCAAAGTACATTCGCGCTCGTGCCACGACCTGTCAGTGCTCTGATTGGTTTTCCTGCAGACTTTGCGTTCGAGCGGTGAGGATGCCCCCCTAAACAAGGACAAAAGAAAAAAAACTGAACACTTCAGTGCACACCTAGTTACAGATTAGCACCTAGAGAAATGATGGATAACCAGCAGGAAGATCCTGATTGGCCGTCACTGAATGGGAGGAAATGAATGAAGATGGACAGTTCTGAGAACGGAAAGCCATTTCTCCTCCATTACGGTGGCACTTTTCACTTTTTGCACTATTCGTAGGAACACCCACTGTAGACTGCAATCCATATTTTGTACTCTTCGGAATTGTACATCGGTCGCCTCGGAGGAGCACATTTTGTGACTGTGTTTATGTGACTTTAATTCCACTAAACACCATGTGTATATGAAGCGGCTACATGATTTTTACCCGTTAGATGAGCTACAACCTTTGTATATGAGCGGAAAAAAAAAAAGTACTTCGTATGATGTCCCCGTGCCTGTAACTCCCAGATACATGTGCAGATATTGACATTCATGTTCCTCTGAGTGCTCTGTATGTTGTAGCTCGGTAGGTATGGGTGGGAGCCAAAAAAAAAACCTTTTCTGCCATGATGTAGTGTTATTTTGTCTTTTCTGCCACCCCCCAACCGTGAGGTTAGCTGTTATTCAGCATTATGTTATTCAAAGAACATTCTACCTTCTGGACCATGTAGCATGCTACCTCCATTTTTAGGGTGTAGCATGAAGCATGTTCACATTCCCCGACCCTCAACCGGCCACCCCTTCCCACTTACCTGAATCGCTGGGGCTTCTTCTCTTCCACAGCATTTTGTATATATGGATTTGGTGCGGCTGTATAGGATCACACATCCATTACCTGCTGGGATTAGTAGAGCTCTCCATAGAATATGTGAATATAGATCTCAATGGAGCACAAGAGAGGGGATGCCACCGCGCTTGTAGTCCATTGACTACATCCATCCTCCATTCCCTTAACCCAAGGTCCATACCAAGGTGTACCAAGGTGCGGACCTGGGGCTGGAGGAAGAGTCTACAGAAGCCAGAGCATTCCCTGATCACTGTTGCATTGCTTTGCAGGCTCAAATGCAAATAAATAAATGGAGATTTTCTTTCTTTAATGTGTGTGCATTTGTAAATTTTAAGGTGGACTATGCCTTTAAGAAGTCTAGGCACAAAGGCAGAGTCCCCGAGGATGACGGGTACTGAAAAACGATCTGTTTTCATACTAGCTGACCACACGCCGCCTGACCGTCACCCCGACCCTCAACCGGCCAACCCTTCCCCACTTATCTGAATCGCTGGGGGTTCTTCACCTCTAGAACGCAAGAGGGGTGATGCCACCGCGCTTGTAGTCCATTGATTGCTTCCTCCATTCCCCTAACCGAAGGTCTATACCAAGTTACGGACCTGGGGCTGGAGGAAGAGTCTACAGGAGCCAGAGCATTCACTGATCACGGTTGCAATGCTTCGCAGGCTCAAATGCAAATAAATAAATAAATGGACATTTTCCTTTTTCTTTCTTTAATGTGTGTGCATTTGTTAATTTTAAGGTGGACTATGCCTTTAAGGAGAGTAGGCACAGAGGCAGAGTCCGTGAGGGTGACAGGTACTGAAAAGCGATCTGTTTTCATACTAGCTGACCACACGCCGCCTGAAAACAAGGAGCATAAACTGCTTTTATTTAATCCCAATGGCACCTTGTTTTTAACATCCTTCTTCGTAATGTGCCCAGAGTTTTTCTTTCCGAAGTGCAGAAAATTCCTCTCCTCTTCTCTCGCTGTCTCCCTCCCTCCCCTCTCGCTCTGTAGGATCTCATGGAATTTTGCCCAGCTCCGTCTAATCCAGGGTTGACCAAACAGTGGAAAAATTGAGCTCAGTGTTTATGGAGTGAGGCTGGGAGAAATGGCGAGGGGATAGAGAGAGGGGAGGAGGGAGCTGAACAAGGTACATAATAAATATATATATATTATGTAAAGCAGAGGGTTGTGGAGAGGAGATGGACAGTGACTGGGGGGTGCTTGATGTTGTGGAGGAGGAGGGATGCTCTTGTTGTTGCGCAGGCTTCCTGAGCTATGTACTGACCTCTAAACCTCGGCATACACAGGCAGAGGTCTTACAGAGAGTGATAAGTGGTGAGACATCTGCTTGTCCTCAAATCCACCACCACTTGCCTTGATATTAAAGCCGAAGCCTCTCCCAAAAACCTCATATCAGCTTCAACTTGTGTCATTTGCAATCTTTTTGACATTTGCAGCTTTCGTTCTATTAATACCTGCTGTTCCTGTCCTTGTTCTGGTACTTCCTGTTATGCGATGACAATGGCCTCCCAAATGTTGCCCTGCCTCGTCCCACTGGAGACTACAAGCCCACGCACATTGCTCAGACATGGCCCTCAGCTTTTTGAGTTTTGGGTCCTTTTCCTATTTTGTCATACTTCCTGTTCCCTGGGTCTCCCCACCAGCACTTCAGGATGATTCACTTCTGATTGGTGCGTATTTAAAGGACCAGGTGACATGTTGCTAGGCATTTGAGTGAAGCATTGCTATGCCTAAGCCAAGCCCTCCTGTGTCCCCCCGTGTTTCCAGTGACCCCTGTGCGTTCCTGAGGCTCTGTGACTGCTGTGCACTCAAGTGACTCCACGTAACGCTTGATTCAATACTGTTTTCTTCTTTTTGTTGCTGATCTGCAGCCTCTTCTAGCCACTTCCTGTCTACATGCGTCAGCTTCATATCATTGCTGCGGACCAGCTTCCTGGCAGTGACAATTCCTGCTCATTGAGTATGAGTGCTACCCCTCTTTATAAAGCTTGTAGCTGAGCCCCCCCATGGACATCCATTGGGCCTTTTAAACCTTGCAGATGATCTGGTTCTAAACCTTTCTCATAAAATTCATTACAAAAACAAAATGGCGGCAGCGACATTTCTACACAAAGCCCACCGATGCTTCATGTACACATTCTGTAGATACAATCTATTGCTTGCTCAGCTGCTGCTTCCCACCTATCTGCAGATCAGACAGTAGTAACAAGCAAGTTATAGATTAACCTTCTGACCTTGGATACTATACGGGTGAAGTCACAGTGACTGTGACCTATGGGACCTGCCATGCACGGACTGAATGCCAACTGATGGCTGCACCACCCCTAATTCACCTCCATATTCCAGGAAAGATCATCAAATACGTCTTCAGTTCAGCCCATGCCACGGCCGGAGATCTATCTTTGTAATAAGTCACCACAAAGTAGCTGTAAGCTGAAATCAGCCTTATGATGGTAGTGTCCGCTCTGTAAGGTAGTTGGTGGGAGGGGTAAGGAACTTAGGTTGGCTTACTAGAGAGGAGGGTGCTCGGGTGGGTGTCATCCCTGTTATGATGGTGGCAGTCTAGGGTTGCCACCTGTCCAGGATTCACCCGGACAGTTCGGGTTTTGAATGCTGTGTTCGGGTTTCGGACACAGCATTCAAAACCTGGACTGTCCGGGTGAATCCTGGACAGGTGGCAACCATAAGCGCACATCCAATCCCCGCCTCGCGCCCCTGACAACAGAGGTGGAGGGGAGGAGAGTCACAAGTCTATGTGGGTTACTTTGTAACTCTTTTACCAGGGGAGCCAATATAAAAACCAACCAATATGAAAACCTCGACTGAGCCCAAAGCATCTTCCAGCACAATAACTAGAGATTATGTGAGCCGATCATTTTGGTCTTCGCAGTTCCCCTTTCAATTATTTCTACATGCGCAGAAGAGAGGAGAACGCTTCCGAACCGGGCGTAGCCAATCCAGAAACAGAAACATATTTTTAGACCGGTACATTCTGAAAAAACAAAAACGCCCTTTAATAGAAAAAAACGCTTCCTGCACGAGGAGCGGAAAATGTAAAATTAGACGTCAGCTTACAAAAATAATCACTTTCCAAAATCCGTACTCTGCTGGAAGCTCTGTGGCCATCTTTTATAGGGGGGTCAGCTTTAATGTAACGTGAGGACATGAAACAATTTAAAGCTGAACTCCGGACATAAAAACTTTACAAAAATATATAGTTCTGCATTTCCACCAAAGGATATAAATCCACTTTGTGTGCGCCAAATGGCTTTACAGACCATTATCACCCGACTGTACATAGACTGTGCGGAGAGGAGAGCTGTGGGAGGGGTCTGGAAGGTCCTCCTAATACAGACTGCCTGCAAAGAACTACAGGAGGGGCGGAGTCAAGACCAGTTAGTCTGCACAAGGAGAGCAGCAATGACCGGTCTTTATTACAGGAGGGGGCGGAGACAAGACCAATCCCCTACCTCTGAACATACCCGGTGCCCTTGGGTACTGGGGAACATGTGACCTTCTCCCCTTCCTCCCCTCATGCAATGCTTAGGCCTGAGGGACCAATCACCAGACCACTGGCGCGCGGCGTGTATGCAACGTGAACGCATGTCAACGCAAACCTCAGGGAAAAAAATGGTAATCATTTTGACCCTTCTAGGAAATCGGACAATGGATCATGATAAAATGCACGCCGACGCGCATGAAAACAAAATATGACGCTCATGAAAACAAAACATGACATGTATGAACATGCAAGTCAAGGCACGTAAACCCGGATACATGTCAGTACGTCGCGGTGAGTCTTTAGTGCGCGGTGCCGTGTGGACAGGACGAAGGACGCGGCGTGCAGACACCTGTGATGCTCAAAGTTGGCCAAAAAAAGACACAAAGTAATTAAACATGGCGCTGCTTGTTTAAAAATAGTTGTGGTTCCCATGGCAACCGAATTCCACCACGGTTTCTGGAGGAAGTTCCAAAACATAAACAAACATTCGATAGTGATGTCAGCAACGCCGCTCTCCTTTTTATACCGCCGATGGAAAATAAACCGCCGTCATCGGGGTGAACTCTGACACCAAGGAAAGGAAATGATTAACACTTTCCATATAAAAGAAAAACAAACAAACAAACAAATGTGAATCCTCCAAGATTTATACTGGACGAGTTTATAAATCTAGATCAGACGCCGAGGATTCGGGGGGGGG